GGACATTGACTTCCAATTTTCTTCTTTTGTGTGTCCTTGTCTGGTTTGGTGGAAGAATGAGGTTGAACAAATTCCTCCTCTTTGATATTTTGGAATAGTTTGAGGGGAATTGGTATTAGATATTCTTTAAAATTTTAGTAGAATTCAACAGTAAAGTAATTCATTCCTGGACTTTTCTTTGTTGGAAGACGTTTTATTATTTATTCAAACTTTTTTTTTTTGAGACAGAGACTCACTTTGTCACTCTCAGTAGAGTGCCATTGCGTCACAGCTCACAGCAACCTCCAACTCTTGGGCTTAAGTGATTCTCTTGTGTTAGCCTCCCAAGTAGCTGGAACTACAGGTGCCCGCCACAATGCCCAGCTATTTTTTTTATTTAAGTTACTGCTGCTGCTGGTTTTTTTTTAGCTGGCTGGGGCCGGGTTCAAACCAGCCACCCTCGGCATATGGAGCCAGAGCCCTACCCATTGAGCCATAGGCACCACCCTATTTATTCAATCTTATTACTCATTATTATTCTCTTCAGCTTTTCTATTTCTTCTTTTTTAAATTTTTTTTATTAAATCATATTTGTGCACATTAATACTATTATGGGATACAGTATGTTGCTTCCATATACAATTTGAAATACTTTCATCCAATTGGCAACATGGCCATCGTGTCGTTCTCATAATTGTATTCTTCTAGATTAGATCTTGGTACTTTTTAATCTGTCTAAGAATTTATTAATTGACTCTAGGTTTTCAATTTTATTGGTAAATAGTTGTTCATAATAGTTTCTAATGATCATTTGTATTGCCATGGTATCACTTGTGATGTCTTCTTTTTCATTTCTGATTTTATTTATTTGGGTCTTCCCTCTTTTTTTCTTAGACTAGCTAATGGCTTGTCAATTTTGTTTATCTTTTTTAAAAACCAACTTTTATTCTCTTTTATTTTTTTCTCACTTTCTGCTTGACTGCTGTTAACTTGCCACTTAATTCTACTTTTGCTGTGTTGTGTTACTTTCATTTGTTTCAAGGAATTTTCCTACATTATTCTTAATTTTTTCCTTCACTCATGCTGTTTATTTAGAAGTATGTTGTTTAACTTCCAGGTTAAGGTTAGGTGCACCTATATTTATAATTGTTATATCTTCTTGCCGAATTGACTTCTTTGTATAGTCTCAAATATTGCTTTTGTTATTGATTTCTGATTTTATTTCATTGTGTTCAGAAAAGACACTTGATATGATTTTGATTCTTAAAAATTTTTTAAGGCTTAATTTTGTGTTTTAACATATGATCAATCCTGGAGAATCTTCTATGTGCTGATGAAAAGAATATGTATCTTGCAGCTGTTGGGTGAAATGTTTTGTAAATGTCTGTTGATTTTTTTTGTCTCGATGATCTGTCTAATGATAAATGTGGGGTATTAAAAACAATATTATTGGCTCAGTGCCTGTGGCTCAAGCAGCTAAGGCACCAGCCACATACACCTGAGCTGGCAGGTTCAAATCTAGCCTGGGTCCACCAAACTACAATGACAGCTGCAACAACAACAAAAATAGCTGGGTATTGTAGTGGGCACCTGTAGTCCCAGCTACTTGGGAAGCGGAGGCAGGAGAATGACTTGAGCCCAGGAGTTGGTTGCTGTGAGCTGTGATGCCACAGCACTCTACCCAGGGGGATAGCTTGAGGCTCTGTCTCAAAAAAAACAAAAAACAAAAAAACAAAAAAAAACACTATTATGGTAGTAGGTCTGTCTCTCCTTTTAGACCTTGTAACATTTGCTGTACATAGCTGGGTGCTCTGGTGTTTGGTGCACGTATAATTATGATTGTTATATCTTCTTGCCGAATTGACCTCTTTGTTATTATGTAGTGGCCTTCTTTTTCTCTTTTTACAGTTATTCACTCTGTTTCTTCTATTCTGGATGTTGTTACTCCTATTTGCTTTTGGTGTCTATTTGCATAGACATCTTTTCCCATCCTTTCACTTTCAGTTTACATATGTCTTCACATATGTGAAGTGAGCAGCGTATAGTTTGGTCTTATTTTATTATCCATTCAACTAGTCTGTACCTTTTATTTGGGAGATTTAATCTGTTTACATTCAAGATTATTATTAATAGGTGAGGACTTACTCCTGTCATTTTATTGTTTTCTAGTTGTTTTGTATATCCTTTGTTCCTCACCTCCTCCCTCATTTATTTTTCTAGTGTATTTTGCAGTTTGGTGGTTTTCTCTATTGATAAGGTTTGGCTCGTTTCTCTTTCTTCTTTGTATATTGGCTCTGCCAGTGAATTTCATGTGTTTTCATGATGGCAACTGTAGTCTTTTTGCTCCCAGATGTGTTACTTCCTTAAATAATTCTTGTAAGTCTGGTGTAGTGGTGATGAATTTCCTTAGCTTTTGCTTTTTGGGAAAGTATTTCTCCTTCATTATATTGTTCTTGGCTGACAGGGTTTTTTTTCAGTTTCAGTACTTTGAATATATCACCCCAGTCTCCCTTATCCCTCTAAAGCAGTGGTTCTCAACCGTACTAATGCCACAACCCTTTAATACAGTTCCTCATGTTGTGGTGACCCCCAACCATACGATTATTTTCATTGCTACTTCATAACTGTAATTTTGCTACTATTATGCATCATAATGTAAATATCTGATATGCAGGATGTATTTAGGTGACCCCGTGAGAGGGTCATTTGACCCCCAAAGGGGTCACGATCCACAGGTTGAGAACCGCTGCTCTAAAGTTTCTGCTGACAAATAAGCTGTTAGTCCAATGGGGAATCCTTTATATGTGAGTTGAATGTTTCTCTTGCTGTTTTTAGAATTCTTATCTTAGACTTTTGACAATTTCATTATAATGTGCCTTGAAGAGGACCTGTTTGACTTGAATCTATTTGGGAATCTTTGACCTTCCTATATTTGGATGTCCATATCTCTCAACAGTTAGACTGTTCTCAGGTATTTCATCAAACAGGTTTTCTACACCTTTTCTCTTCCTCTGGACTCTATAGTATAAATATTTGTTTGCTTATTGGTGTCTCATATAAACTTTACTTTTTTACTTTTTTCCTGATTGAATTATTTTAAAAGACCTGTCTTCAAGATCAGAAATTCTTTCTTCTGCTTCATCTAGTCTGTTGTGAAGCTGTCAATTGTATTTTTCTTTTTTTCTTTTTTTGTTGCAGTTTTTGGTTGAGGGTGGGCTTGAACCCACCACCTCCGGTATATGGGGCCAGCATCCTACTCCTTAAGCCACAGGCACCACCCACATTTGTCTTTTATTAATTAATTTCTTTAGCTCTAAGATTTCTGCTTGTCTTTTTATGGTATTTCTCTTTCTTGAATTTTACATTCAAATCATGACTTTTTCCCCCTCATTTTATTGAGTTTTCTATCTGTATTTTTTCATTTCTTACTGTATTTCCTTAAGATTATTATTTTGAATTGCTTATTCTGGCATTTCATATATTTCCTTATGATTGGGGCCTTCTACTGTAGAATTATTATGTTCTTTGGGGAGTTTTGTGCTTCTGTGCTTTTTCATGTTTAGTGTGTTCTTATGTTGATTATTGCACATTTAGTGAAATAGTCTCCTCTTCCATTTGTATAGAGTAGATTTCAAAGGGAAACACTAATTCCTATAGATGGGTCTTGAGTTGTCAGTTGGGTGGACAGCATTAGCTTTCATTCTAGGTGAATATGGTAGTTTAGTCTCCATGCAGTTTCTTTAGCTGTATTCCCTTATGCTAGTCATAATACAAATGTCTCAGAGGCCTAGGCTGCAAGAATCTGTGGTGGTAGTCACTTGACTTTGCTTGAGGTGAATACACAGGCTATTTCTTGGGCTGAGGATGTGTGCATACCCACAGTATATCTACCAACTTGGTGGTTGTCTGGTTCACTGAGGTTGGGGCCCATGGCTATAACTCTGGTTGGGGGCACAGGTGCACAGCCTCTCAGGTGTTCCAGGAACACGCTCATATATGTTGGGCCTGTCACTCTGGTTTTTCACCCTGGGCGTGGGTATATAGCCACTCAGCCAGACTGGGGTGTGTCTGCTGGGCTGTTACTCTAAACAGGAATACAAGTGTACATCTCCTTGGCTAGCCCAGGGGCATATCTGCCTGGGTATAAAACACTAGGCTATTTCTCAGCCTGTAGACCAGGGGTCCTCAAACTTTTTAAACTGGGGGCCAGTTCACTGTCCCTCAGACTGTTGGATGGCTGGACTGCGGGCCCCAAGATGAGTCGGATGCTAAGCAGGACAGGCAGCAGTGGCAAAAACACCCAGCAGGCTGGATAAATGTCCTAGGCGGGCTGCATGTGGCCCATGGGCTATAGTTTGAGGACGCCTGCATCTAGACACAGTCATTCAACTGTTCGGCTGGCCTGGAAACATTAGTTCCTTGGCTTGAGAGCCTCTCCTCCTGGGATAATTTACTGACTCAAATTTTACTGACTCAGAAAGCAGAGTTCCAGGAGAAAAATCTTACTTTAAAAGAGACCATTGGTTAGGCACTTCCCAAATGTTGCCCTTTTCAGTTTCTCCTGCCCTTACAAACTTTTTGTTCTGATAGGCAGGTAGAAAGACAACATAACAGGTACACAAAAATGAGATATAGCTAGTAACAAGTAGTAAGAAGGAAAATGAAGGCAGAAAAAGGAAGAGATAGTATTTGCAAGCAGGCTAAGACTGAATCTATACATTTTTTTTTAAGAATAAATCTATAAATTAAAAAAAATTAAATATATATCTGATAACAACGAGGTTCTTCTCTTTCCCTCTCTTCTCCACTGCAGTGTGTGGAATGTATGCCCTCAAAACCATTGCTAAATGAAACCGAATTAGCAACTACAGGCTGAATTTTTATCCAGATATCTCCAATATCCTCTCTCATAGGACTCTAAAAAGAGCCACGACATCCCACTTAAAGTAGGGCATTCCCTCATACTACATCATGTATAGAACTGAGACATCACTTAACTTGGTGCTCTAAAAAAAGTTGGCTTCTCGAGTAAGATGGAAGATGAGGAGGTCGCTGAGAGCTGGGAGGAGGCGGCAGACAGAGGGGTTGGAGCAAAGTGATCCAGTGTGGAACTTTAAAACAAGAAGTCATTCGAGAAAAGCCTTGAAAAGCTCTTAAAAGGAAATAGACGGTTGGAAAAAAAAACTGAAGATCACACAAAAGGAGAGGAAATCCAAATCTCCTCCCAAAGTGCCCATTGTGATTCAGGACGATAGCCTTCCCATGGGGCCCCCTCCACAGATCCGCATCCTCAAGAAGCCCACCAGCAACGGTGTGGTCAGCAGCCCCAACTCCACCAGCAGGCCAGCCCTTCCAGTCAAGTCTCTAGCGCAGCGGGAGGCTGAGTACACCAAGGCCCGGAAGCAGATCCTGGGCAGTGCCAGCCCCGGAGAGGAGCAGGAGAAACCCATCCTTGACAGGCCAACCAGGATCTCCCAACCTGAAGACAGCAGGCAGCCCAATAATGTGGTCAGACAGCCTTTGGGTCCTGATGGGTCACAAGGCTTCAAACAGCACAGATTAATGCAGGCAAGAAAGGATGCTGCCGCTGCCACCATCACCGCCTCCTGGGTCCTCCGCCACGGGTTGCACTGCCGTGGCAGACAGCTGGACTTGAGCAGAGGGAACGACCTGACTTACTTGCACTGTGCTCCCCCTTGCTCCGCCCACTGTGACCTTGAACCCCATGCACTGTGACCTCCCTCCTTCCCCTGCTTCCCACGGTGATTGGCATGTCGACAAGGGCTGTCCCAAGTCAATGGAAAGGGAAAGGGTGGGGGTTAGGGGATGGTTGGGGGGACCCACCAAGGACTCAGAGTAGAGAGTCAGGCAGTGCCACTTGGCCACTTGGGGGTAAAGCTAGTGCCAACAATAACAGTTTATCATGCTCCTTAATTTGGGATTTCAAAACCCAAATGAGAACTCCTGCCTACCCACCCCCAGGTGCATGTCTTCATCACTTAAAAAGTAAGTTCCATTTGAAAAAAAAAAAAGAAAGAAAGTTGGCTTCTATTACCATATGAGGTAGATATAATCTCAGAATGTTGTACATATCCTAAGATATATTTATTGATCTAATCCATACATTATAAATAGGTGATCAGGAAGGATGATTTTAATGATGACTTCTTAACAGGACTTACTAGGCCATATAAGATCTGATCCTGGCTCGGCGCCTATAGCTCAACCGGC